TGAGTCCTGTAGAGTATATGTGAAGTAGAACTCGGGAGAGAGGCTGCAAACCAGCTTTTCAAGATGGAGCCAGAGAATGCTTCTTCGTATATTACACTGGCAAGTATATACGCGAGAGCTGCTATGTGGGCTGAAGTGGCTGAGATTAGAAAGCTGATGCAGCAGAAGGGAGTAAAGAAAAATGCTGCAGGGTGGAGTTGGATTGAGGTGGATAATGGAGTTCATCTTTTCTCAGTTTGTGCTACTTCACACCCTCGGTCTCAAGAGATCTATGAAGAACTGGAGAAGCTGAGGTTAGAGACGAGAGAAGCCGGGTTCAAGCCAGAACAGACATTGGAATCAGCAGAAGATTTTTGTTGAAAAAAGAAGATGAATTGATTGGTAACAAAGTTATCACTGTATATAAAAATTGTTTTGCTATACAATTTAATTAAGTAAACAAACGGAAGCAAAAAAGAAGGGAGAAAACTTGTTTGGCAAATTGATCAAGATAAAAATGACTTGATAGGAAGGATGAATCCATGTTACTACGAAGAACTATGGATATTACAGTTTCTGTTTCTTAAACTATCATTTCAATAAACTCAAATCTCAGTAAACAGTAAAGATGTTGTTTCTAAAAATAAAAACTATATATGTAACGTTTTTTTTTTTTCTTAATAGCGTAATTTAAGACAATTTTGTGACCACATATGAAAGCGTCATTTCAAATCCACCACAAACATAAAAACCTTACTGCAATCTATTATTCAAAATCACAATAAATCTGCAACCCTATATGTAATATCACAATGAAGGATAATCTTACAAACTCCCATCAGACACACTATCTACACTACTACTACTTATTACACACTCAATCATGTCAAATAACGAAAATATTATTGTCATGTTCCTCTATCTGCTAGGTTCAGAAATCAGCAACTCCGATCCCGACTTCATTCCTACTTCATCTGTAAATAATAAGAAGTGAGTATATATAACTCAGTACAGTAAAAAGTAAGTTACAAACATCATATACAATAAAAATTCAGAACTCAGGAGTTCGATATGTACTCCACCTACTTAACCTAATACCTACCCTTGATAATTTAAATATTATGCATGTTAATTGTGACTGCCCCTCAACATCCCCTAACTGTACAAATATTCTCCCCCGTCACCAATATCGGCGATCACCAATAAACCATCTATCTCTCGACCCCTAATAGACCACACACACACATATACCATTCTTTCTCGTCACCAATATCGGCGACCAAACCCTTTCACGTTGGAGTCTCTCGACCATCACCACTATCGGCGATCAACTTACTTTTTCTAGGTAGCGACAACCAACATCGGCGTCCCCCAATGCTACCCACTCAAAAATATTATCATCCTGTCCTTACTCCCCCACCTTATCTCTACCTTATCTTGAAGCTTTCTTATACCTTTAACCTGTATATCTAAACTACACGCGTCTCTCCATAAGCCACGCACTAACACTTAACACACTTACACCTGTAACGTTCCCTTGCCAACTACCAAATTTACAGCAGCTATACCAACTTATATACAACCCACTCTCTCACACCACACAGCTACACCACTCATCCCCTCGCCCTACACAGAGCCACCTCCACACCTCTATTCCAACACTTCATTCCCACGCTCTACGGCCTCTCTTTCCTTCTCCCAAATTTTCTGCATCCACACACACTACTTTCTCTCTTATACAAATCTACCTCACTCACCAAATCTCTTCTTCTCTCTCTCTCTCCACGGCCTACTCTAGGTACTCCACTCTCAAATCCCGAAATCACCTCTCCCTCATAGACCTCACTCACAAGCAGCATTCCTCCCTCTTTCTCTTCTCGCGGACTCCTCCTCATACTTCCCCTCATACTCATACAAAATCCTCTCTCCCACCCGGACCTCACTCACAAGCCGCATTCCTCCCTCTCTCTCCTCTCGCGAACTCCTCCATAAACCTTCATTCGTGCTCACACAACATCTCCTCCCTCTCGCGAACCTCACTCATACACTGCACACCTTCTTTTCTCTCCTCTCGTGGTCTAGCCTCCTACATATGCCCCCGCTCATACTCAACATCTCACCTCCCTCACACACCGCACTCCTTCCTTTCTCTCCTCCCGCGGCCTAGCCTCCTCCATATACCCCAACTCATACTCAACATCTCCTCTCCCTCACAGACCTCTCTCCCATGCCACATTTCTTCTTCTCTTTCCTTCCGCGGTCTCCTCCACTCATACTCACACAAAAACCTTCACCTACGGGCAAAATTTCAAATCCACATCAACTAAAGAATGAAACTTAAAATTATCGTACCTCCCGTCTCCATTTTCCTCATTCTCTTGGCTTGCTCCGTCACCGTCCTCTGTCTCCTCCTCTCTCTCTTCTCGCTCCTCTCCGCTCCGGCTCTTCTCTCTTTCTCTCGAACCTTCTATTCCCTCCGATCTCTCTTTTCTCTTTTCTTTCATTTCCTCTCTTTTTTTCTTTTCCTTTTTCTTTTCTTTTCTTTCCCTCTCTTTTCTTTTTTTTTTTTCCTTCCCGTCTCCTATTTATACCCCACCTGTTTTCCATCCTCTCCGTACATCTCGACTCATCGCAACCGTTCACTCTCTCTTCTCCAAACGACGTTGTTTCCTCCTCCTCATTATCACCAAACGACACCGTTTCCTCCAAACGACGTCGTTTCCTCCTCCTATTATCCAATCGACGCTATTTCCCCCCTCCTCTTCTCTAAACGGCACCGTTTCACTCTAACCCTCTCTATACACCCATATATACATACACGCCAGAATTTTCTTCATTTTTTTTTTTTTTTTACCTCCAGTTACTATAAGATATGAGTGCAGACAAAGAATTTGAAGCTCTACTTACTAATACTAAATTTTGTAAAATCAAACCACGTTATACATACATAAACTTTATTTTATATTAATACAAATTAATTATTTTTAAAAAATTTATTAATGTTAATCTTTAATTACGGTAATTTTTAAGCTCCATAAAAAAAAATAAAATATATAAAGCAAAAATTATTTATACCACTTTCTCATAACCTCATAAACTTATCCATCCAACAAGCAGAAATCCATTTCGATTCTTTGAAAAACAAAAAAGACAAAAGTAGAAACCCATTTTCTCACCAAACAAACAAAAAATCAAACTTGAGATTGTCTTCTTCTGGTTGAGTACATTATTTTTAAGGATTACTGACACCCAACAACTCTGCAATTTGCCCCTAAACTGGAGAAATTCTTCGTTATAATTAAGATGAAGACTCCAAATAAACCCCAAAAATTCAATTCAAATAATTAAAGACCTTAATATAATAAGACAAAATAGTACTTGCTTGACTGTCCAACCAGAACCTAATCCATACTTCATGTGATTTTCCATGTTGATTTACCTCATCAACATCTTACCCAATACATTAAAACTCATTAGGGTTGTCAAAATATATATATATATATATATATATATACACACATATATAACCATTTGAGTTTTAATTTTTATAGCCAAAACTTGAGAAATGTATCAGCTTTTAAAGTTGTCTAGAAAGAAATAATCTGAATAAAGTCCAAAATTAATTTTTTAAAACTAACATATCATATTATCCAACAATACATATAAATATTATTTTTTAATATATATATATACACATATAAAGACAAAACAAAGGGTTTGGTGTTAAGCGATTAGGGCACAAATTAACAACAACCTTATTAGTGCGCCGTTCGTGGGGATATTATAAATAATATATATTAATATTACTCTTAAATTAAACATAATTATTATATAGTTTTCTTGCAGATTTGATTCATATTCTTTACTAGATTCTGGTTTTCTTTATTGGTATTTCTATATTTTATAAATTTAAATTTTTAATTTTATTATAAAATTAATTATATTATTATTAATATACAAATATCATTTATAAAATATATGATTTTTTATTTTAAAAAAAAAAACATTATGGTTTTCTAATAATAGAAAAATTGTCGTTTTTCATAATATCAACTCATCCGGTCGTACCATTATCGTTATTTATTATTTTTAATTTGTTAAATTAAGAATTAAAATTATTTATATATCGTAAATTTAATTCTAATACATAATTTAGAGTTCCAAATTTGTTTGGAATTAATTTTTCTTTCAATATTTTATACTTAAAAAATAATTTATCGTCGACAAAAAAAAAATTCTCAAATAATTAATCTAGTGAATTTTTTTTTTTTAATTTAAATCCAAATATCAAGGAGAATATCCATCGGTTGTTCGGCTTTGTAATCTTTCATCGTGTACAAGATCCAACACTATGTATATATGTATACATATATTATATGAATTTTATTTTTCTATGATTGAATTTGATATTAAATTAAGTAAATTATAATTTGGTGGGGTTGTATTATGTGTAATAAGTAAGTTTAACCCATTTAAATAAAGTTATTGGTTCGATCTTATTTTATTTTTGTCGTATTTTTTATTCATGATTGCTAAGTTGTATCACCCTTTTAAAATTAAATAAAAATTTTGTCATATTTTACAAACAACTATACATTTTGCATTTTGTACAAATTTTATCATATAGAGTCTTCTGATTTCCTAGTAATTTCATTTTTTATAATATCAAATATTTTAATTATTAATATTTTGGTTGGTTTAGGTAGTAATTCACAGCAATTATATATAAATTTTGTGGGGTATCTTAATTAATATGTGGGTATTTTTGGACATATACAAAACGACAAGAAGATATATTCTAACTTATATTAGAATTAATCACAGATAAGTAACAATTAAAATGATAGTCTTAATAAATTAATTTACTTGTTAATATAATTAATTGTGGCGATGGATGACGGTGACACAAGAGAGAATAGGAATTTATAATATAAAACAAAGGATTACAACATATAATTTAATGAAGTCTTAATTAATTGCTTTGAGTTGGCTAAGAGACTGTGTGTGTGTGTGTATATATATATATATATATATGTAGCTAATGATACGCAATCTCGTTGGTCGTATCAAAACTTGATTTGTTTAATGTCAAGTGTGTTCCCATGATTAATTCCACCTCATGTCAATGATCCATAGAGAGATAGCCTTCGTTTGAATAGTAGCTTAAGGAGATAAAGACAAAATTTCACACGTGTGAAACAGAGAAATTCGATGATCGAACCCCCGGCACGTATAAACTATATAACACCCAACAAGGCCTCCTTCTTCTTCTTGCCCACTTCACCTTTCCAATACTCTCTGCCAACCCTCTGGTCTGAATAGAAAGTTAGCTTCAATGGATTTATCTTCTGCCAAATGGTTATCTGATCTGGTAAGCATATCTATATAGACACACTCACACATATACACATACGTATAACCTCTCCCATATTGGATACTAACCCAGATACTAAAAAAAAAAAAACATGATTAATTGCTTTAGCGTATATTTAACTATATATGTAGATCACAGTAATATGGATGTGAAACTAAATATCTGATCTGATGATAATTAAAATTCACAGGGAATGGATGAGTACGAGATCATTCATCACTGCCACATGAACTCACTGGCCGAGACATTAACAACTGATGTAGCAGATATTACAGCACTTAATCAAGTTCACTCCCATGGCAGCTTCGTTAAGCAATCATTCTCATCCGAGAGTTACTCATCTTACCCTACTTTCAACAGCGCCAACGAAACCTCTCACAACAGCAGCTTCGAGAGACCTGCAAAACAGCTCAAGATCACAGCCTGTACCACCAATAGCTGGAACTCCACCACCACTGCATCCAAAAACGATCGCGTTTTGCCGAGGGCTTCCTCTTCTTCGTCTCCAACGAAGACCCCTCATCTTCTTTCTTTCGAGAACTCAAGCTCGAATCATGATCATCAGCAGCAGTTCTATCATGGGAACATGATGAACTGCACTGTGAAACCTAAAGACGAAGCCGGTCTGTCCCCCATGCGGCCACCTTGTTTGATCTCCAATAGTGGATATTGTAACGACAACACGAACCATGCAGGAAAAGTAAACCAAGGAATGAAAAGGGCTTATAGTAAAATCCAATCACATGCTCAAGATCACATAGTAGCCGAGAGGAAGAGAAGAGAAAAACTTAGCCAGAGATTTATAGCTCTTTCTGCAATTGTTCCTGGCCTCAAGAAGGTAAAAGTTCAAACCAACAAAAATTCCTCTTCATCAATCTTTAAATGCTGGGTCAATACCGATCATTCTTAGCTTGTTGTATTGATGAATGTATATCCAATTAATATGTAAACGTGTTGGATTTATGTACAGATGGATAAAGCTTCTGTTCTTGGAGACGCAATAAAGTATGTGAAGCAACTTCAAGAGCGAGTGAAAGTGCTGGAGGAGCAGACAAAGAAGAGAACAATGGAGTCGGTGGTTATGGTGAAAAAATATCAGTTGTCCGCAGATGATGATTCGTCTTCGTGTGATGAAAATTTTCATGGTCAATGCTGCGATGCAGCACTCCCTGAAGTGGAGGCCAGAGTTTCAGATAAAGATGTTCTTGTTCGTGTCCACTGCGAGAACCAAAAAGGGATTCTGGTGAAAGTCTTGAACGAGATAGAGAAGATTCATTTGTCCATCCTCAATAGCAGCGTCTTGCCTTTTGGGAACTCCACTCTTGATATCACCATAATAGCTCTGGTACAATATAGTAGTTCACATAACTTTTATCACTATATATATATATATATATACACGTCATATGTACGTGGTTTTATAATGGGTTTTGAGCTGATGAATATCCACTTTATTGCAGAAAGGTGATGAATTCGATATGACAGTGAAGGATCTGGTGAAGGACCTGAGATTAGCTTTGTTGAAGTACATGTGATCACAAGTAGTCTAATTCTCTCGAGAGAGCCAGGACATATATACATATATGTAGTCCATATATATGTATATATGCATGTATAAGAGCAATTAGAACTCATTTCTACAGATGTGTTAGATAAAAAAACCCGCAAGTCTCTCTGTTTTTAGCCGATTAACTAATGCTTTGGCGTCAAATGTTGGTGGAAGCTTTTGGCTCCTGGTTTTTTGCGTCGTTAAGTAATTAATAATCATCACGCTGGATTACCCACATGGAGCGAAGAAGAAGAAGAAGGTTATCAGCCAGCTGTTATACGGTTTTTAATGGAGTTTTTTGGGGAGGAGGAAATTAAGATTTCACTGTAATTAAATTAAAGCATGTAATAATTAAATTTAATAATTCAAAGTTTAATCTTTTTAGATTCCTTCCCTCTGTCTTGCTCTATTTAATTTTTGCCACATGGTGCTTATTTTGTAAGAAAACCTGCATCTCATCATTAATGTCTTCTTTTCCAGATCGTTCAAGTCTGGAGTTTTTACTAAATTTGTATTATTTATTATTTAACTTCAAAATTATGGAGATGAAGAAGTAACGTTCAATCCAAAGGGCAAGTAACATGACTCTTGGCACCTCCAAATTCAATACGCTTGTTTACTACTATCAATATAATATATTTATATATATATATATATATATACATAAAATTCAATAATGGGTATCATCATATTGAACATTATTTAATATTCTTATTTACTCAATTTACATATACATGGCATTTCATAGTATATATTGTAATTATAAAATATCTAATAATAACTAAATAATTCAAAAATTCCTTATTTTTTAACCCATATATGACTCTTATTTTTTTATATGAGAAAATATAAATTCAAATTTCTTTTGAAATTACTAAATATTTTTATATTTACAGTCATTAGTATATATATATATATATATATTCTATACAGTATTACCCAATCAAAAGATATTTAATAATAAATAAATCATTGTCAAAATAATTAAAAGTTCAATTTTTTGTGAAGTTGCCCAAAATTGTGGGCCTATTATAGAGACAAGTATTTATATTGTCATTGACTATTATTTAATATTGTCTAAGTTCAAATTATATAAGTGTATCATTGTCAATAAATTGATTATATTATTAATAGTATATAAAGAAAATATATAATTTTTATTAAAAATAATTATATTAGGCTGAATCTCTATATATATATTTATATATACACATTCAAAAATATAAATTTGAAAATAATATGTGAAGTAAATACAAAAATGAGAATGAGAAAGAGAAAGCAGGCTTGTTCTGCTCCAACAAATCAGGATTATGATGACGATTCTCTGACGTCGTGTCTCAATCTGAGTCAACGCGCCGAATTTTGTCAGATGTTTTCACACATCTGACAAAATTACCTAAACTCCTTCCTATTAAATTATTATCTTTTACCTTATTTACTGACGGTAAATACCTAAACTTTTATTATTTACGGGGCACCTCCGCTCATTAACAAACATTTATTACTAATTTCTGATTAAACTCTTAATGATGATTAAATTTAATTAATAATTTTTTCGTAGTTTTTTTTTTTTTTTCTTTATTGCAATATTTAACGGTTGAGTAACGGCGACGTTAAGAGGCTTAAGGAATTAATAATATATTAATTTTAATGTAATTAAATATCTTATAAGCATGGTTGCATGTGCTTGGAATTTTTTTTTTTTGACCAAATTTATCTTAAATTACAAGGGGCGAGCAAGTGAAATCTCAATTTGAACATTGTGGAAACCACGTTTATCACGTGATTGTGCCGTCTCGTTATTTTAAATATTATTTATTCATTTAATTACTTCTCAATTAATTAATATAATTACGCCCATCAATTCAATAAACTACAGAATTAATAAATTAATTAAATGTGCCCATCAATTCAAGCTATGTAGTGCCTTAAAATGATTTTAAATTAGCTTTTCTGATGAGAAATATTGATGTGAACATATAAAACACATTTCCCCTTT